CCCCCATGAGCACCCCAGACTGTCTGCCTCCCCACCCCCATGAGCACCCCAGACTGTCTGCCTCCCTGCCCCCATGAGCACCGCAGACTGTCTGCCTCCCAGCCCCCATGAGTACCTCAGACTGTCCGCCTCCCCGTCCCGAGCACCCCAGACTGTGTGTGCCTCCCCACCCCCACAAGCACCCCAGACTGTGTGTGCCTCCCCACCCCCATGAGTACCCCAGACTGTGTGTGCCTCCCTGCCCCCACGAGCACCCTAGACCGTCCACGCCTCCCGCCCGTCCTTTGCCTCCTTTCCTCCCTCTGACTGGAATGTTCTTCCCCCATTTGGTCCCACTGTGGGCTCCCAGAGGAGCTTTCACCCTCAGGTAACCCCCTGAAGGCTTTATTTGCAAGCAGCGGCACGTCAGTCCCCCTCTGCCTCTGCCTTGTCGTGGCTGTTAGCTGCCATCGAGTGGATTGCGTCTCACGGCGACCCGCTGTGTGCAGAGCAGAACTGCGCCATAGGGTTGTCAAGGCTGTGACCTTTCGGAAGCAGATCACCAGGCCTGACTTTCAAGGAACCTCTGGGTGGGTGAGAAGTGCCAACCTTTCGGACAGTAGTCCAGTGCCACCCAGCGACCTTCCTCTGCCTTAGGGACGGGAAAATCTCATTTGTTTTCTTAGTTCAGCAGCTTCTAAGATAGTTCCCAATAAACGTGAAATGAACTTACGAACGAATGTGTAAGAGAGCCAGAGGGGGAGAAAGGAGGACTCACACACGTGCACCCAGAACCACAACTCTTAAGGTATCAGCCTGGGAACCTCACGGACTACTGAGAAATGCAGACAGGCTAGCAGAGGCAACTGGGGTAGGATGTTGAGATGGGAGCTTGAAGAACGGAATGAAGCTCCCGTGCGAGGTAGAACTGAGCATAATCAAGGCACAGATAGTTGTTGGAGTAGAAGCTATCTTCTGTTTTAATTTTCTTCGTATGATCAAAACCATGCTACTCCATAGTATGAAGCAATGCTTTCTAAACATTCAAATGCGCCCCTGGGACTTAAAACCTTGAGTCAGATGACGTAAAGGAAGCCTTGGCCCGCGGCTCCTGAAAGCCTGCCATTGTCTGCTCTACACACACAGAGCCAGTGCTGAGAGGTCTGCATGCAGCCCTGACCCCAAAAGTGTTTGCCAAGTCTGTAACCTAAATGAGTGCCCTGTGTCCCCAGGGTCCTGAGCAGGGAGAAGGCCCTTGTCCACCCAGTTAGCCCTGGGAACCAAGCAAAACAAAGGCAGAGCGTGTGGCTTTCCCAAGTATTCTTCTGCCGTGGACTTCAGTCATTAATGGAGGCGGAGGTAATGCTGTATGTTCTGCCAGAATCACGTCATTTTCCTCCAGGCAGGCATAAAGGGAGACTGTATTTCCCAAGCTCCCTCTCAGTTATACAGGCCAAGCAATCAAGCTCTGACCAGCTGGCTGTGGGAAGAAGGGCCTGGCCACCACACCTGACAGGATCCTCCATGGGAGCCTGGCTACCACACCTCTGACGGGATACTCCATGGGAACCTGGGCCCACTACATCTCTGACAGGATCCTCCACAGAGGCCTGGTCACCACACCTGACAGGATCCTCCACAGAGGCCTGGTTACCACACCTGACAGGATCCTCCACAGGAACCTGGGCCCACTACACCTGTGACAGGATCCTCCACAAAGGCCTGGTCACCACACCTGACAGGATCCTCCACAGAGGCCTGGTTACCACACCTGACAGGATCCTCCACAGGAACCTGGGCCCACTACACCTCTGACAGGATCCTCCACAGAGGCCTGGTCACAACACCTGATGGGATCCTCCACATAAGCCTGGCTACCACACCTCTGACAGGATCCTCCACATGAGCCCGGCCACCACACCTGACAGGATCTTCCATGCGGGCCTGGCCACCACACCTGACAGGATCCTCCACAGGAACCTGGGCCCACTATACCTCTGACAAGATCCTCCCCAGGGCCTGGTTACCACACCTGACACGATCCTCCATGGGGGCCTGGCCACCACACCTCTAACAAGATCCTTCATGGAGGCCTGGCAACCACACCTCTGACAGGATCCTCCATGGGGGCCTGGCCAGCACACCTGACAGGATCCTCCACAGGGGCCTGGCCACCACACCTGTGACAGGATCCTCCACACAAGCCTGGCCACGACACCTGACAGGATCCTCCATGGAGGCCTGGCCACCGCACCTCTGACAGGGTTCCTCCACAGTCTCTCCCATCACACAGTGACGCCACATGACACATGCTGAGGATGGCAGGCAGATTTGGTAGGAGCGGGGCCCTTAATGACTGTGGGGTAGAGCGCCCTCTCCCTCAGCTCACCTGCATGGATGGGGCTTTGCTAGAAACAAGAAATAACCTTGTTGCATAAAGCCACTGAGCTCTGGGTGTTCTTTGTTACGTCAGCTAGGGTCACCTACCCTAGCACACCATGCTAGCCATGAGATAGTGGGAAAGGTGGCACTCATTCAGCATTTGCTAAGAGAACTGTGTTGCTGTTGTTGGGTACCATAGAGTCAATTCTGACTCACAGCCACCCCATGCAGCAGAGTTGAATTGCTTCACAGGGTTTGCCAGGAACAGAATGCCAAGTCTTTGTCCCATGGAGCCACTGGTGGGTTCAAACTGCTGACCTTTCTGTTAGCCAAGTGCTTAACCATTGCACCAGCAGGCCTCCTTAAAGAAAGAACTATGGGAGGTGCTATTCTAACTGAAGGGAAGAGAATTACCTGTCGGACCATGAGCTTCTCAAACTCCTCCACAACCTCAGGCAAGCTAAGCCACTTGATTCCTGGCAGAAGTCCAAGGGCTCGGCTACCCATCTTCAGCAGCAGCAGGTCCATATGCACCTGGGCCAGCAGGCCAGGGTGCAACACCTGTGGAGGGGAGCAATGAGACAGGAGGGCCAGGAGCACACACCTCACCTGCCAGGCGAGGCCCGCCATCAGAGGAGAACAGAAGGGTAGTGGTCCCGCCACCCGGGGGTTCCTGCTCGCCTCACCCCACATGGCTACCCCATGATACCTCAGAGCAGCTCCTATGTACTGCACTCAGCTTTGCCCAAGGAATGGGAGGCCTTTTCCTTTGAAACATATTAAATTTAGATCAGTTTGTTCTCAATCATTCAAGTGCATAAAAGTCATGTTGGAGTGCTTGGTGAGAATGCGGACCCAGGCCTCCACCAAGATGCATGGAATCAGACTCTCTGGGAGTGGGGCCAGGAACCAGCATTTTACTGTGCTCACAGATGACTGAATCAGGCCACCCAAAGACCACACCCTGATAAATAATGCTGTTGTTGTTGTTGTGTGCCATCGAGTCGATTCTGACTCACAGCGACCCTACAGGACAGAGTAGAACTGCCCCATAGGGTTTCCTAGGCTGTAATCTTTACGAAAGCAGATCACCAAGTCTTTCTCCCTCGGAGTCACTGGTGGGTTTGAACCATCAACCTTTCAGTTACCGGCCGAGCACTTAACTATTGCACCACCAGGGCTCCTTCAATAATGATCTAGAGCTGCAGAAGTCAGTGGGACCACGAAGGGGGTAGGAAGTGCTGCGTTCTGATTCCAGGTCTTCCACCTATGCCTGTCGGGAGCTGGGCAAACCGCACAACCACTCTCTGCCTCATGTTTAAAAAATGGAGAAAATACTGAAGTTGTCAAGGATTTCATTTTACTAGCATCCACAATCAAACAACATATTGCATTCCACAAATCGGCTGCAAAACACCTCTTTAAAGTGCTAAAAAGTAAAGATGTCACCTTGAAGTCTAAGGTGCACCTGACCCAAGCCATGGTATTTTCAGTCTCCTCATATGCATGGGAGAGCTGGACAATGAATATGGAAGACTGAAGAAGAACTGATGCCTTTGAATTACGGTTTTGGCAAAGAATATTGAATATACCATGGACGGCCAGAAGAACAAACAAATCTGTCTTGGAAGAAGTACAGACAGAATGCCCCTTAGAAGCGAGGATGGTGAGATTTTTCTCACATACTTTGGACATGTTATCAGGAGCGATCAGCCGCTGGAGGAGGACATCAATCTTGGTAAAGTGGAGGGTCAGCAAAAGGAAGACCCTCAACGAGATGGACTGACATAGTGGCTGCAACAGTGGGCTCAAGCGTAACAATGATTGTGAGGATGGCGCAGGACCGGGCAGTGCTTCATTCTGTTGTACATGGGGTCGCTATGAGTCGGAACCAACTCGACGGCACCTAACAACAACACTTCCATCTCAAATCCTCTTAGGTACAATGTGGGCTATAAATAAACAGGCAAGAATAAAGCAAACACCTCCCTCCAGGCATCTTATGAAGAACGGTAGGACTGCTCCTGGTCCACAGCTTCCTCTTAGCCTTCCTTGGAATGGAAGGAACCTCAAGAGTCTGCTCCTGTGCTTCTCAAACGGGCCTGGCCGTGACAACGCCTAGGAGCACTGATAAAAATCCGGATCCCGGGTCCTTCCTTGGAGAGGGTGGTGCAGTGGGTCTGAAGTGAGGCAGCGGGGCAGGGTTCTCAGGGGTAAAAGAGGGCCCCAGGGTTCCCACTACCCATTCTGCCAGATCCCCTGAGGATGTGCTGAATGGTATAGACCAGAGTGGAGACGGGAATGACGGAGAACAGGCAGGAGAGAAAGAAACCACTTCTGTCAAAATGTACTGTCACCACGTTGGGTCTGCCAAGGCATATCCAGCCTGGCTTATCTCAGATTTCTCCTTATCCCAGGGTGGTGGTGTTAGCTGCCATCAAGTTAGCCCCTGACCATGGGGACCCCATGCACAACAGAACAAAATACTGCTCAGTCCTGCACTATCCCCATGATCAGCTGTGGATAAGACAGTGTTGTTTTGACCCATACGGTTTTCATTGGCTGATATTCAGAAGTAGACCAGGCCTTTCTTCCTAGTTTGTTTTAGTCAGATGGTGGGGGCTATGCATCAGGTGCACGGGCTGAGAATCAAACGCAGGTCTCCCAATGGAAGGCGCGAATTCTACCGCTGAGCCACCAATGTCCCTACCGCAGCGTAATGGGTCATTAAGGATGATGGGTTCTCCACCCTCAGAGACGGGGGGGGAAAAAAAAAAAACCATTGCCATCGAGTTGATTCTGACTCATAGCAGCCCCATAGGACAGAGGGGAACTGCCACATAGGGTTTCCAAGGAGCGGCTGGTGGATTTGAACTGCCGACCTTTTGGTTAGCAGCTGAGCTCTTAACCACTGCACCACCAGGGCAACCTTCCTCACTTTCCTTGACCAGATTATTCACATCCACTCCCTGCAGCGGAGAAATAAAACGGCTTGAACATGATCACCAAGCCAAGAGAAATAACTGGGAGGCAATGGGGGGTGACCTGCATGGGGGGGGTCCCAAGCTGGGAAGCCGCGTGGTGGAGGTGAGATGTTGGCTGTTTGGTTAGAGATGGGAAGGGCCTGGCTGAGGTGTCCGGAGCACTTACTTTCACGGCCACTGGGATGAGGTGACTTGACTCAGGCAGGTGGGCAGGGGGTGGTGATGCATCCGCTCCCACCACGTCAGCTTTGGGGAGGAGCAGCCTTTCTACAAATGACTGATCAGCAAGACTTCCTTCAGGCTTCTCGCCCTTCCCAGAGTGTCCAAAGAGTTCTCCCAGCCCCGCGAGGGGCCCCGAAGAGGGCCGCAGGCTGAAGGCAGTGAGGAGGCTCCGGCGGCCGTCCTCCCCCAAGAAGGCAGGCTTGGCGCGGGCCTTGTACACCTGGGCCACGCAGCCCGAGCCCACAGGCTCCAGGCTCTCGAAGCAGAGGACCTGGCCCCAGGCCTCCCCAAAGGCCTGCTGGAGGGAGCGCCGGGTGTGAGACCACGGGTGGGGCCTCACGCGGACATGCAGCCTGGAGAAGGCGGTACAGAAGGCCTCCGAGAAAAGGTCTCGCCGCGTGCTGGCCCACTGGCCCAGCTTGATGTAGGTGGGGCCTGAGGTCTCGGTGGCTTTCAGAAGCAGGCCGAGCCAGAGGGTGGCCACGCCCGGAGCCAGGTAGGTGAGGGGATAGAGCAGAAGGAGAGGGAGAAACTTCACCAGGAGCACCCCAGCCCGCAGCCAGAGCCGCAGGTGCAGGAGGAGGCGGCGCCGCTCCTGGGAGACCCTCTCCAGCGGCCCCTGTTCAGCCGGGTTGCCCCAGCTGGCCCTTCGCTGACACAGGCTCTCCGGGACCCGCTCGCCCACGTCCCCGCTGGCTGAGACTAGCCTGGGCAACGTGCCTAGCAGAAACCAACCTAGTCTGCGGGGACACCCAAGGGGCCTCAGTGGGCCCCGCTCCTGCCTGGGATCCAAGCGCCGCACACGCGTCCTGCAGACCCTGAGGGTGAAGCGCCCGGGCGTCCCCATCCCCAGCGGGTCCGGGGCCCACGTGCTCACTCGGCCAGGGGAAGCTGCGTCCGGGTCCCAACCGAGGGTCTCACCTTTCAGACCGCCTCCTCCGGCCCGAGCCCCGGCCGCCCCTCCCCGGTACCTTCCGCGCGCTATGCCCGAGACCCGCCACGTCCGAGGCGGGCTCCCAGACCCGGCCAGTCCGGGGGTGCTGCAGGAGCCATCACGCCGCGGGGGCGGACCGGGCGGGGACAAAGCGGGGGTGGGGGGGCATGTAAAACCCGGGAGAGGCTCAGAGCCGGATTAGGGAGCGCCGAAGGCCAGGGGACTCAGGGCCAAGACAGGGTGTCGCCGAAAGCTGAGGACTGGGCGGAGACGCTCAGACCTGAGGGCGGGGGCTCGGAGAATGCGAAGGCCGAGGACCCCGACGCCGAGGGCTGGGGGGCTCACGGATGAGGACAGGGGTCGAGGAGGACCAGGTGGGAACGCTCAGGCCTGAGAACCGGCTGCCCAGGACGGCCTGGGCCGAGCAGGAAGCCTCCTCGCGCCTTCTGGGAGCACCCCAGCCTCCCGGGGGGCCACCCCTTAAAGCGCCCGCGGCTCGCCTGGGCCCGCCCCCAGACCGCCCCTGG